CAGCTCAAATTGTAAACAAATATTTGTTTACAATTATATGAGATCATATGATCATATGATCTCTGAGGTTAGCTCTTCAAAATCTGTTAGGTACATTGTTAAAAAAACTAAGTTAAATTTGACAAAAACAGGCACAGAAAAAAGTGTCCTCTCCATAAAACGGTAAAAATTTTGCATCTATTTTTTTGTTGAAGATAGCACCGAATTTCATTACCTCAAATATTACCGACAACTAGCAATGTAAACTTTGGGATAAAGTACTCAAAAKGTTTAAAGATCGTTTGTATTGCATTTTTTTGACAATATTTCCGACGCCAAAGTTCTATATCTCAGAATCTATAAACATTCGAATAAGATTTATTGTGACTTCTTTTGAGCTCTACTATCACCTGTTAAAATATTTGCACATACTTTAAAATCACCCAGTTTTCTGTAAAAATATAGAAATCAATTCTGTAAGCAAAAACGCCTTGATACACAGGAAAATGCTTAGGAAAATTCCGTCGAAAATATTGAAAATTACAGAAATCACCAAAAATTATTGGTTGTCAATTTTGCAATTTGCGTAATTAACAGAAGATTAATTAAATCGTATATCATTCAGCGATTAGTAGTTTGGACAATTAATGCCACTTTTTAAAGCATAAAACGTTTTATAATAACAGCAAAAAAGTTGCTTAGCTTGACTAGTGACGTGAAAATAAGGTGCAAATCCGGTTTCCTGCAATCGTAGGGAGTTTTTCTTCTTATCTAGCCCGACCTTAGTTCCAGTCGTTGTGCAGTGCCAAATGAGCACAATTACGATCCGTAATATGACATTTGTGTAGTTCAGAAGAAGAAAAACCTCGTAAACATCCTCTGTTTCAGCATTACAATTTCAAGCACCCGTGTTATTTCGTAGATTAATATTGCCTTCCTTGTACAAAGGGAATTTCTGGCAAAGCACAGCTTTGTTTTTGTTTAAGATTAGTTATAATTTATGTCTTAAAGTTAGTTGTTGTGATTCGTGCCGCCACGGGGGTCTTTTATTCTTCCGAATGATATTGAAATGGTACGCAATTCGTTGACTTCTCCCATAAATAAAGTCGTCCCGTTCGATATCATGCGTCACATCCGATCATCCCGCTAGGAATARACTTGCAAACTGAATAAAAATAATCTCAGACAACTTTCCGACAATAGATGTCGGCTGGTCGATGCATAAGAAAAGAGGATCTCAATATCGTAGCGCTCCAGGTTAAACAAACTTCCCTCCCSGTTTTATTTACAATGACTTAGGGGATTATTTTCGTYTCAAAATACAGGTTTGTTGCAAGGATGAGACTAGGATTTTTCTATTTAATAAACCGCGTTAAAACAGTGACAGTTGCGATAATCGGGAAGACTCTCCCAGAGAAGATCCCAAGAAGTTATCTGACTTTTTCCATTTCCTTGGGATCACTGAATGATAAAAGATAACCGTTCGCTCCCCCGGTTTATTGTTATTATTGACTCGAGCTCTGCATCCGACTCCGGCTTGTACGCAACCTATAAAACCCCTAATTGTAAAAACTTGCTTTTTTACAACTTTTTTACGTCAATCCTCATTGTTATGTTAAATTGTCCGAATTGAGAAGAGAGTTAGTCATTACGGAATGAATTTCCGTTTTGTCACGTTTACGACCTCTCTACTTTGCTGATTTACTGTTGTTGTTTGATCTCTGGCTTGTTTTCGCGAGTATTCGCGCAAAGTTTCCCAAGTGGTTCCGCTCCCAAAAACCGAAAAAGTTTGCAAACTTGCGAGTCCTGACCTGAACTGGCTCAATCCAAAATCCAATCCTCTTTGAACAATTGTTTCGATAGTCTTTCGAAAACACGAACGCCGCACTTGCAACACGACCCAATGAATTAGCAAATGCGAATCTTGCTTTGATCTCACGAAAGGATGTGAAAAAAATGGGACGCTCGTACAAGAACAAAGGACCAGTTTTTGTCAAAATCGAGAGAATTTATTGCAAAGGAAGTTTAAAAAAATTAAAAACGGCTATAAACGCTGAGAGATGTGCTGGAGATTGAGTGGCGAGAGTTCGCTGTTGGTCGACATTGCAACTTGTGCCTGAAAATCCAGTCCATCAAGCTCTATGAACCACCTATGTTTCATTTCTCGATAAAATTAACTTGAAATCGTGTTTTCGCCTTTCAGACGTGATTTAGAACGATGTAAGTCGTTTGAAATATACACTTTTGTCGGTTGTGGAGTTTCTTCGAAACAAAATTAAATGTCTGTGTTGACGTCACGTTTCGGTTGCAAAAAGCGTGGTTTTTCAAGTGTCTCGAGGTATAAAAATGGAGTCTCCTCGAGTGTAGGTTACGAGTCGTTCCAGAGGCTTTTGAATTATTTACTCGCTCTATACAGTAGCAGAAATTTACGATCGTACAGTTGGCAATATGGATTAGTACGGGGAATTCCCGCTGATATCGGCCATTGGAACTTTCACGGCTGTAAACAGTCCTCAAATAAATTACACGACTTCCTCTCGTGAAAATCTCCGTCTCTCATAAAAGTTGCAAATCGCCGGCGAAGAGAAAATCTCACTGACCGCTTCCGTTGTTATCATTCCTGGAGTGTTCCCACCTCGGTAAACATCAATAACAATTTTATCGAGACGTGTCACAGCTGACTTGTCGGAAGTCGTCGGACAACGGCCTTTCTCGCATCGTTGAAACCTATTTTCCTAGACTAGTGGCGCAAAATACACGACTAAGAGAGAAAAAAACAAAGGGAGAAAAATATGCTTCCACCGTCGCCTCCCTAATCTCACACACACTCGAGTAAACGCGCAAAAAATTACTTTAATAATACGAGCTTTGGTCGAATCGAAACAAAGATTTGCCGGAAATCCACTCGACCAGAGACCAGAAAGAAAAAGAGAAGCTTGGCAGCGGTCAGATGGAAACTTACAGGTTGCATAAACAAAAGCTGCGGCCGTTTCCGGATCAACAATTAGCGCTAATGTTGGCAAAAAACGAGGAAATGTATGCGTTCTGGTGCCGGAACACGAGAGGCTTTTCAGCGAGTTTAAAAACAGAAAAATTAAAATAAAAGTCGAGCTTTATTTGAAGTAATATAATAACGCTTTTTTGTTCTGCAAATAAAGTTGTCTCGTCTTAAAAACTCAGGAGAAGTCTGCTTAGATATCGTATTAGTCCTTAAAAACATTCACAAATTTAAGGAAGTCCCTGTAAATCACTAGAATAGTGCATAAATCATAAGGCATTACAAAAATCAAGTGAATTGGTACAATAAGCGTAGAAAAGATTGTCCTCCTAATAAACCGCGTGGACCCTTAGAGGCTGAACCAATAAACCACAACAATAAGTCTTTTCCATTGTAAACGTCATTTCTTACTTAACAGTATATTTAGTTTGAAGTGAAACTCAGTTATCGATTTTACGTTCAATTGAGTAAATAACAAATTATTTTTAAAAATTCGCAACTTTTTACTGTAATTAAAAATTAAATTAAAAAATAATTATAATTGATGTTTAATTAGCTATTTATTTACGAAGATAACAAGTAAATGCCGCTTTAAATGGCAAAATTAAATAAACAATATTAATATTAGAAATACTTAATGAAAACCATTTATTACTAGAAATTAAAATGACCAAATGAGACTATTTAATATACTCGTAACTCTTTAAATTTTGATACTTATTTTTTTTAAGTTGGAAATGACAAATTAAATAATTTCATTATTAATTTTTATTCAATTCATACAGGTAGGTGTGCTAACTCTTTTGAACTCGTGGCAACCTTTACAAAAAAGGAATATTTAAATTGAACTATTGAGATGTTGCAACCAAGATATAGCAATCGCAAAGCAATTGTAACAAATTTACGAATTTGTTTTTGCTAATAATTGTTCAGTTCAGTTATTTTATTGAAACTATATTAATCAACTTTTATTTTTGAGTATTAAAAAAAAAATCATAGCCATTGGAAAACTGTCTACCATACTAATACACAAATTATTACCAAAAAATTACTTTAATAAAATATTTGCAAATTAATTTTGAATACGAATAAAACAAACACTGTTGTAGTAAGGAAAAAATACCTACTACATAATAGATAATAATCTACAATTTTTTTTAAATATTTTATCTTCTGTTTACTATTGTAAAATTAAATTTTCAAATATTTAGAAAATTGATGTGTTTGTTGCCAAAGTTGAGGTATAAAGTTAAAATATTTTTTTATTTACTCAATTAAAAGTAAAATCGGTAACTGAGCTTCACTTCAAACTGAATATACATACTGTTAAATATGAAATGACGTTTACAATAGAAAAGATTTATTGTTGTGGTTTATGGGTTCAGCCTCTAAGGGAGGACAATCTTTTCTACGCTGATTGTACATGATGCTGGGTGATTTTTTCTAGATGTAAATTTTAGTGGTGTTGGTTCAAGAAAGCCGCAAAAATTGTTTCCCCTGTAGGCCTTATTAACCCCGGTTTGAAGTTTTTCTCGCAAACATCGGTAAATCTTGCGCTTTAAGAATTCTCCGTTCGAACCCATCCATTATAATGTATCACCAAAATAAATTACCTGTGAAGTCCGATCGGAAGTGCAAAACTTGAATAGAATCGGGATTTGAAAAACACATAAATCGCACCTTTATGACTGAAAACATCGTCGCAATTCCGATCGGCCTTCAGTGTTAAATAACACTGACCTGCATGAGAAGCATGGGATACGGTGCTGGATACTCTTCGTCAATTTCCGTCTTGTAGACTGATTTGTTAAAAATCGGCGGTAAATCGTTGACATCCTTGATATGTATGACCACTGTGGTGTAATTCTCATTCAAGCTGTCTGACGCGACCAGGGTTAGCTCGTACTACACATGCATCAACAGGACAATACAATGCGAACATTAAGCGGTGACAAAAATCAAAAACATGCAACACACAAAAGACAAAGGACGACACAACACACAAATCATGCTCGACACTCGCCCTGAGCACGCTCTTCGGCAGATTCCTGTCGTCCTCTTCGGTGATTTGCGTCCTATAAGTGGGTCTTTCGAAAACGGGCGGATTGTCGTTAACGTCCTTGACGTGGATCACCACCGTTGTGTAGTTCTCTTTGAGATTATCGGACGCGGCAAGACGCAACTCGTACTAGACACAAAATTTCGCATTCAGTGGTCGAACATCTGCTTGTGTCGTTAACAATGTGTCATAGAGAACGCCCGAGAACAATACCGCCATTGTGAAACGATGATTGGAACGTCAAGTCTCGCGGGATCTACTAATCACGTGGCTCATTCACCGCTCGGACGTATCTTAATAGTGAATAGAAAATCGGTTAATTCAAGTTACACATCGCTAAAAACGACAAGCGACAAGCATAAATGTCGATGTGCGATGTATATGTCGTAGTCATTGGGCGTAATGCGTCATTCCGCGGAAAGCCTAGTCTTTGGCCGTACTGCCGGCAGACGCTGTAATCAAGTGAATATTCCTTTCATTTATTTGACTGAAATTTTACGTCATTTCAGGGATTGCCTAAATAATTGTCGTCAAACAAAGTAACCGGTTAAAGCATTACATGTTACAGCGTTTGACGGAAGTGTATTTAGTCATTTGCTGAGAGCTTGAAATTTTATTGTGTAGTATTTCGGGTCGTAACATTTAGTAATTGTTGGAAAATGGATAATCATAAGAGTTTGTTTTATGATAAATTAAATGAATATTATTTGAAAAACAAAGATGCCAAAAAACCATGAAATTATGAAGTAATGAAGGAGGTAAAAGACTTCTAACCTCAAAATACACCTTTATTTCAGTTGTACATATTTTAGGCTGCAAAAGAATTCTAAAGAATATATTTTTATTTTTGTTTAATTTACCTGAAGGCAAAAAATATATTTTTACCTGTTGTTTAGGTCATGTACTTAACGTTTTTTGTATGATTTTATAATATTATATGTTTACATTATTCCAAATAAACGAAACAAATATTTTGCTACAATAAAAATATTTTAGTTTTTTGGCTCTTCTTTTCTTCTACCGAAAATTTACATTTCTACAGAAAGTATCAAACATTTCAAGACTTTTCAGCAAATGACTAAATACACTTCCGTCAAACGCTGTAACATGTACTGGTTTAACCGGTTACTTTGTTTGACTAAAATTAAGTGGGCATTCCCTGTAATGACGTAAAATTTCAGTCAAACAAAGGAATATTCATTTGATTACAGCGTCTGCCGGCAGTACGGCCAAAGACTAGGCTTTCCGCGGAATGACGTATTACGCCCAATGACTACGACATATACAAACTGTTCCGTTTTTATTGTTACAAATTTAAACAGGTGATAGAATATTCAATTTTAAGATAAAAGTTTTCCATGAACATGTATCAAAAAAATGTTATGTAAGCGAACTACACCCCCCCGGAAAAGATGCGCTTTTTAATGGGGTTTTCTCACTATTGCAGAATAGATAAAATTACAAAAGTTGGTGCAGCTGATAACCTTTAAACACCTGAACGAATTCAAAAAGCAAATTTTTATTCATCAGGAGTGTCATAAATTGGAGGAAATGGATTTAATTTTAAATTTTTATTCTAAAATAATTACTAATTAGAGTATTTTTTATCCTAAATTCACCAAGTTTAGGACGCTCCTGATTAAAAATTTCAACATTTTATCTTTGAATTCGTTTCGCTGTATAAAGGTAATCAAATGTACCAAATTTTGTAATTTTAACTAAAATGGTTTCTGAAATATTAGACAAAATCCATTAAAACATGCACCTCTTGCAGGTAGTGCACCTCCGTTACATAGTATTTTTTGATGAGTTATGGACAATTGTTCGAAAGCCAATTGTTCGAAGCCAGTTATTCGGAAACAAATTGTTCGAAAATCCAGTTGTACGAAAGCAAATTTGTCGAACAGCATATTGATAGAACGCCAATTTTTCGAAAACTGATTGTTCAAAAAGTTATTTATATGTAGACAAGTAACATTTAACAAAAACAAGTTTGTTTTATAGCTTGTTAGGAAAAACTATTCGTAGGCGCAATCATGAAGAAACCGGGTTGAGATCAGCTCTTACCTCTTCCATATTTTTAATACTTGTCAATTGTTGCATAATTATCAAAAACTAAAGAAAATACATAGGCTTTGTTGAGAAAAATTAACATTTAAAATTAAATATATTTTAATTTATCAATTCTAGACACCAAAAGTTTATTTTTTTAGATAGACAATTTATCAGTTTATGAGATGCAAAAATAAAAATAGGGTGTTCCATTTAAATTTTTTATATTATTTAACTTTTAAGAAACTTCGACATTTTTTTAACTTTTCGACTGCAATACATAAAAAAATGTTATAGTCTCAAAGTTCGTACTTTTCTCTTTACAGTGGTATAAAAAAAATTTTTCCAGCTGCCTTAACTTTTTGTATAATACATTTTTAAAAAGATGATGTTTTCGCGAAAAAAAAACTTAATTTTTAAAAACTAAGATTAATAAAAGTTTAGCTTAAAAACATTGAAATTAAAAGCTACATTCAATAATGNTTTAAAAAGATGATGTTTTCGCGAAAAAAAAACTTAATTTTTAAAAACTAAGATTAATAAAAGTTTAACTTAAAAACATTGAAATTAAAAGCTACATTCAATAATGCCAAAAAACATATGGTGTTTCATTTAAAAAAAAACATAAATTCGTATTATAACTTAATTTAGGGCCGCCATGTATAAACAAAGTCTACAAAATTCAAAATTCCCACTTAAATACTCGTAATAACTGAGCTATAGAAGACCGGAGCTGAGATGAATGTTCTTATTTTTGTCTAAATTTATGTATTTTTTGAACTTTATAATTAATTTAACAATTAACTAGTATTAAAAATATAATATAAATTTTGTTTCAATAATTACAACACCCAACCAATAAATATTGTTGTTTTAATCATCCCTACTTTCTTCTGGCGTGCGCCTACAAAGAAATTATTCTAACAAGCTCTAAAACAAACTTGTTTTTGTTAAATGTTACTTGTCTACATAAATGACTTTTTGAACAATCAGTTTTCGAAAAATTGGTATTCGATCAATATGCTGTTCGAACAATTTGCTTTCGAACAATTTGTTTTCGAACAACTGACTTCAAACAATTGGCTTTCGAACAACTGCTTTCGAACAACTGACCGGACATTTTTTTCGATACATGTTCATAAGAAATTTTTATGTTAAAATTAAATATTCTATTACCTGTTTAAATTTGTAACAATAAAAAGGGAACATTGCAAGAATTGAATACTTTAATTGTTAATTATAGTTGTTTAAAATAAAATATTGCTTCTTTTTCTTCTGATCCTGGTTCTGACGAATGTGTTATATCAAAGAGACAGAAATTGACTGCGCGTTAAAAAATTGAGAGATATTACGCCCCTCAACACACATATTAAACGCCGTTCAATTAAAAAATATAAAAAACAACGAATATCGCGCGTCAAAATTCAATTTGTCGAGCTTAATGTTACATGAAATTGTAAATAAAAAATATGGGCGTTTACGCGAACCAATGGCCCGAATCGAGTAAATGTAAGCGAGACGTTCGGGGACACTCTTGAATTTTCCTTATTATTTATGTATGAAAAAAATAAACATCTGTTCCCTCGACGTTTCTCCAGATGAGAAACCACCAAAACGTTTTAAATATTGATTGTTCCATTCCGGATGTAAATAATTGCGACACGGACTACTCTCGAGCACATTTTTAGTGCAATTTTTTATAGTTCGTCGTATAATTCGATGCCGAGGCTGCTTTATTATCAAGCAACGAAGATAAAAGACCGGCCAAATTGCTCACTGGAGCGTGTACTTAGCCGATAACTTACATAAGCCCGAACAGACGTTATAAATCACCACGGAGTCTCACAAGACGGAGACAAGTCGAGCGAATAGGCGAATAATCGCAAGTACAAACGCGACTATTCRCCCCAGATTGAGAAAATAAAATTCCGGCGCCGCCAACCGATTCCGTCCTCCCGTTCCCAATCTAATATTATTAAACTTCCGACAGTGGTTGTATCGCCACGGATTATCCAGAGTTTCTCATACATATTTATGACAGAGTTCGTCAGCACAGATTCCTGCCAAACAACGTTAGAAATCTTTGTTTTTATTCATCCAAGTCGACGTAACGACCGCTGAAAAACGTCAAGAAGTGTGCTTCCGGCATCGTCGACAGATTCGTTTTAATTAAACGTCTGTGAGAAAGACGCGGAGCGATTTATGCACGTCACGTCGCTCGCAAACGTTGCGAACGTAGCGGCCACGTTCGCACCTGACGCTGATTTACGAGCGATTTTGATGATCATTTTATTGATTCATGATTGAACTTACCCTTTTTCTCGTTTCGTAGTCCAACGCTCCGGCTACATAGATAGCTCCAGTCATGTTCTTAACGGCGAAAGCACCGCCTATGTTACCGCTTGTGATCTCGTATCGAATACGAGAGGCTGAAAAAAACATTTAAATTAATTGATGATTCAAATAAATGGCTCTTAAGAAGAAGAATCGACAGATATCAGGATTCGGACGTCCGGAGACTTATTCATTCGCTAAGCTGGCGCAATGATCATAAACATTCCCGGATCGCATGAAATAAGCTCCATAAATTTCCCGGAAAGATGTTATTGACGGAAAAATTTGGTACAGTGGCAGCTTGTTTCAAACTTTCAAGCTGCGAAACTAATAACGGTTTTGTGTAATTTAGTTAGCGCTGTAATTTTAGTTTAAATAACATATAATTAGATCAACAAATTTCAATTACGCGTTCGGACAGATGCCACGGCCGGAGCACGTACTCTTAATCCGGGAATTAACGGAGTCCTCTGAAAAAAAAATGTTTTTTCATTAATTGCAATACTTCCGAACAAAAAATTTCTTCCAGTATACGTGACAAAAAAGATGAATTCCAGAATAGCAAAGATTTAAAAAAAAAAGCTAAAAAGCTACTACATCAAATAGAAGGCAAACCTTCTGTACAAAATGAACCGGAAAATTTTAAATAAAATAGTACTATGTTATTATTGATTAATTTTCACTCAATTATCAAAACACTACTTATAAACAGCGGAAGCTATGGCTTTCAATTCTTTTTGCAAATTTTGTTTTGTCTTTTATGGACTCAAAACGCGTCACAGTCAAAATTTGTTGAGTTTTTATCCAAAAATTTGTGCAGGATTGTCGCTGTGTGTGCTGGCGCACTGTCATTGTGTAAACTCCCAGAGTTGTTTTTCCACAATTCTGGCCTTTTCCAGAGAATATTTTTTACAAATATTTCACAACGGCTAAATAATATTACTCTTAAATCTAAATGATGATTTACAGTCATCATTTCTTTGATTTTCTTTACATTTTCCATCTCCTTTGCTGTTGACGATCGTTCAAAACGAATAAAGTCGGTAACCTTTTTCCGGGCCAATTGAAACGTTTTGTACCACTCATATGCTTGTGTTTTTGACATACATGAGTCCCCAAAGATCGAAAATTTCCGATCCTATTTTACAAAGTAGTATGTAACAAAGCCTCACCTACATTTTTACTAAAAAAGATCAATCTTTCAATAATCAGAAATCCAAAAAGCATTGAAAATTCTGAAAAAGAGTCCTATTTTCAGTGAGTTTCAATAATTCTGAAAAATCTCCAATACAACATTCATTGCAGTAATTTCTTCAAAAAAAATCGAGTGTTTGTTATGTAGTAGTAAAAACATGATTACATGTACTCAAAAAACTAAAGATATGTGGAAAGACAGCCTGATTTGTCTGTTTGTATGAATATTCATGATGCTTTTAGTGTGGTTTTAGTTTTTCGATAGCTTAAATATTGAAATACGACCGAATCGCCCAATTCGCATTTCTTTCTGGTCTGAAAACCCGTATGTAAAACCAGATCTCGTTCTCATCAGTGGTCTTCTGTTTAGAATTTCCGGTCGTCGTGTCGGCTCCAATCCCTGGAAAGCGTCTGGTCGCTGGATTAAAACGTCGGGTCGATCCTTACAAATCAACTTTCTCGGGCACGACGCAAGCCCGTCCTAAAAGTCTCTCATACACACAGACCGCCACTCTCCTGAATAATGCATCTCGCCTGACACAAGTCGGTGAAAATTTCGAATTCAAAGCTCTTGCTGTTACGATATCTTGTAAATACACTCGTCGCACGAAATTGTACCTAAAATATGCCTTGGCTCTCCTTTTCTTCATTAAAGGCGGCCCGGATTAGAAGGGTTAGTCGTCTAAGCCGAAGACAAGTATATGGATCAGAACAGATTTTGTCATTCCCCGTTCGACTAACTCCCGAATTTCGAAAGCCCAATTTGGGAACGGGTCTAATCCAACATGGAGCTCGTTTAGTAGAGATAATGAGGCAGAGGAGAAAAATGACACTACGAAAAAACAATTGATGGAGCGGTGGGTATTTCGTGTCGAATTTTAGTCCAAAAACAATCTATTATTAATAGCAAACACAATTCACCGGCGTGAATTATTGAAAACCACTTCTCTATGCTTGTGTCGACTCAAAGCATGCACATTTTACCTCAAAACATCTCATATTGGCTATTGTTATAACCACTGGTTTCGAGCTCATTGTTTTGAGTTTGATTTCATTCTCTCCAATAATAAGAGACTGTTATTTTACGAAAACTTGGTAAAAGAAACAACTTGAAAAACTATTTTTTAAGTTTAACACAGGTCAACAAGGGTTCGGTAACATCGATGACAATTTGGTAAGCAGTAGTTTTCTACTTCCTAAATAACAAAATGTACATGATGGGCAATTATACTGTTGGCTTTTAAAATGCGACAGTAACGTCCCTAACAAAAGAAAATGTTGAGATTTCACTCTTTTATTGTAATATATGACTTTTTAATGTTTCTAAAGTTAGTTTATTAAAATATTGTATGCTCATTAAATCGTTGAATTATTTTCAGTACTTTTTTGCTTTAACATGAGTGTCAGAACGAAGTTGATAACATACGAATGATACGTGATGAGACATTTTTGTGAAAATTTTCGAAATCAGAGTGAAAAATCATAAACGTGGAAGGTAGTTTAATCAATGTTACCGAAAATTTGTTAAAATTTGACCAGTGTAATCAGGGTGTGAAAATAAGTTAGAACATTCTTTATTACTATAAAGTATCATAAAGTTATTTACTTTTTTATTCATTCGTATTTATTTTTCCAATAATAAAAAAGATAGTTCATATGTAGTTTTTCGTGAAAATTTTATGATTCCGACCATTAGAAAACTGAGGAAAACATCCGTTTTAAAAATTTTATCTATTCGATTAGTAGATTATTCCTGAGCGCCTTCCTATTTCCGTCGATTTTTTCCGTTGGCAATCTCGTCTCCTAAGAAGTTAATCGGATCCTCCGTCGATGTGTACGTCGCAGCTTCATTACTCATGTATGACTCCCGTGTAAAAACAGGCCGATGTTTGCACAGCCTCGACGTTTCATTAACCGGAAGGTCGGACTCCGTGTTATAGTTAATCGGTCGTCAGTCAAACCGAATTAGCGTCGTGAATTAATTATCACGTTGCGTTGTTATACCCCCGAATTTGTCTCCGGTAGAGCCATTAATTTTCCTTCGGGTACCACCCACTGGCAACAAGTGCATGTGTTTTTCCCCGGAGAAATCGCATAAACAAAAAATGCAACATTTAATGCTTCTCAAAAACAAGGTTTATGACGGTGGCTGTAAAAGTCGGCATTACTTATTTAAGATTCGATGACTTGAGGGAGTTGTACGCATTCAAATTCGAAGCGAGGTACCATGGTGGGCAGGAATTAGGACGGGAGGTGAGACTTGTTAACTGAAGACAGAACGATTGATCATTATTTACGACGGTGCGAGTTGTAATGGAGACGTTTCCAGAAATGGAGGAAAATAAACGGGACTTGGGGTGGTATTAATCATTTCGGAGAGGTTGAAAAGAGGTCGCGGTGACAGCTTTGTAAGAACGCGAATCGCATCAGTCAACGAAAATCGAAATTGGAAAGCAACAGAGAAGATAATAAAGTCGAAAGGGTTATTAATACACAAAAGATTTGCCTTAGGAAGCAAGAATTTTGCAGAGTACACGTATTTTGTAGCAACAGAAATAAAAAATATCTCACTAGTTTGCAATAAAAGTTGTGTTAAACCATTTCGTTTCGCGTCTTTGGGCGTTTGTTTTGTTTAATTCCACGTTTTAATTAAACCATTTGAATAAAACTATTCACAGGTGTTTAAAACAAGCTGTCGCGGCTTGACAAACCCCTCTAATTGCAATTCGATCCTTTTTTCCCTGGCTACGTTCACGCATATTTCACATAAATTAGCATATCTCGTGTTACGCCCCGAGTCTGTTAAATTCTTGTTAATTTCTTGGAAAAGCTCCGACATTTTGACGTAACACGCCTTTTCACCATAATCCCTAAAGGCATTTTTAATCAGGCCTTTTAAATTTCCCATGTGAATTACTTAATTGAATGATCGTTGTATTTGAAAAATTTACCTTAATGTTCTGCTAAAGTGAGTGAAATAGTTCTTGCTTGTCTCGAGACGTAAATTAGATCACAAGCTTAATACGTCAGACTGTCTCTAAATAGTATAGCGCAACTGGAGAATATCACAGAACAGAACACGGTACGGCAATTCCGGTAGACAATGATGTATTTGAAATAAAATCAAAATTAAGAGAGAAAGAGGGGAACACAAACGGTGATATCAAACAGACGTTTGCTAATAACTAAATGGAAAATAATCGGAAAATCACAAAATAAAAACAAATTAATACATATTTCAAATTCCACTTCGGTTATAAAGTATCGACTCAAAATAAAACACTGACAGTGTTTTATACTGTGATCAAATAATGTAAAATTGCCATTATTTGTACAGGCGTCGGTTACTCGCAGACGAAAAATAAATAAAATTGACAATATCTCACATACCTTAATACACTCACTGACAAAATTATCGCATCACATGAGAAAAGTGATTTTTTATTATAAATAACGCTTAAAAAAATAAATGCATCAAAAATTAATTAATTAACTAATTACCTATAAAGTTTTGTCTGTAGGTATCTGCTAGCGCATCAAACACTGGTATTACAGTTACAAATTTTGACTTGATTGGCTAAATAATCGCTTTTTTTATTGAAACGCAAACCAGACGTGTGTTTTATGACAAAATGGTATAATTTTCCAATAAAAGGATCATTTACTAATAGCTGACCGTTTTGAAGCTTCTTATTTCCAACTTTGGCATAGAATTGATTGACAAAAGTTGATGTTTAGATTCAAATAACCCAACAGTGAAGAATTACAGAATTTTACTCTAGAAAATTTTACTCAAAAAAATATTCAAATTTGTACCCACGTAAAATTAAGTGCGCTAAAGTTTATCACTTGATACCTAAAATTACCTGGTTGTTACTCGTGCTGTTGGACTGTAAAGGTA